AAATGGAGCGCAGGAGGGCCACACATTTTTGCCGGCAGCTCGGGCTGCCACAGGCACCCCCAACACGAGTGACGTCGAGCTGGCCATGCCCACCCGGCCCACCGAGGTCAAACACAACTCTGATGTGGCCCTCAATGAAGTCAAGTTTGATACCCCTGTCCTACAGTTTTGTTGGAGGGAGAAAGGGGGAATGGTAATTTTGCTTTTTAAAAGTCTATTTTACAGCATAATTTGCCTCAAAAACAATGTCTTCAGTATTTAGCATCGAGGATCACAGGTTTGGGGCAGCTGTTGCAAAAAAAGACTGAAAATCAATTGTCCTGGTCTACAGGTTTTAGCATAATACAATATGAAAATTTAGCCAATTGTTGCTTGTTTAATAAGTGATGATTACAATACATGTTAGTCCTATATGTAAGTTCAACTACCGTACTACCTCACAGCCAACAACCAATCCACCCCTACCCCCCCAAAATAACTACAACAAACCCATCTATCATTTTCAATTAGCTATGTCTCTTTGAATTGTTTCCAATTACCAATTTCCATGGAGGTATAGTGTAAAACTCACCTCCAAATTTGACTGTCCCCCAGTTCCAGCCCTTTACACATAGATCTTTCTCAGCAAGATCTAAATGAAAGTGTGTTTTGAAGAAATCTGAAAGTTTGTCGAACTCCTAAGAATAAAAACAGTCAATGTACACACCAGCAAGCTAAAGACATGTACAACAGTAATTTGAAGCTAGTCCCTTTGTTTACACTACAGAAATTTACATTATACCCCTGATACGAAATCATACTTACAGTACAAGCGCTAAACTATAATATTAAGAAAAGTTATGTGGGTGTTGAGCCATTAAAAAAAAAGAATCAAAAAATCTGTGTATTTTATCACTAACACTTCCTACAACAAATGCAAACTTATTTTTAAAAACCCAACCAAAACAAAATTACCCTTGCTTTGATTTAAACTGGAGTATTGGCAATTTGCATGGATATAACTATAAAATTTCCCTGGCTTGATGGAAAAGTGGTTTGCCATTCTTTCTGTCTGGGTCTTTAAAAAAATATTTTCATTGAATGAATTCAAAAGACGAACAAATAAATAAATAATTTTAGAATGTCTAGGTTGTCTCCCACATCCAATTACAAAATGGGGCCAACTCTATTTAGCTAGTCAAGGTTAGCTAGGTGTTGTCACCAGCTGATGCAAGTATCTCCAGTTACAGTTAAATAGGAAACAAGCATTGCTGCTACAAATGCCATTCATATTACAAACAGTAGTGTAAGATCCAAGGTTGAAAAAAAACACTGATGTAATCAGATTAGATATCCAACTGAAAAATCTCTTGCTGCAGTGAACACTCCAATAGTTTTTAAAATAACGTATCTTCAGCTGCCTATCTGATTAAAGCTCTGCAGTTCTTCTCTAATGCATCATTTCAAAAACAAACTTGCATTAAAAGAGTCTTACCGTCTCTCTGAACCCATCATACTTGTAGACATGGCCACTTTTAGTAAGCAGCTTGAGGCCGTGGCCCAATGCTACTCGCCTCCAGATACCCTCTGCCAAATCTGAGGCCTGGATGTTGTCAACTTTCCCAGTTTTGCTGTTCTTAAAAATCACACCTTGACGGTTTAGCCGCAGACGGCCATCATTCTAGTGCAGAACAGAAAATGTCAGTAAGAAAACAATAGTTGAATAGCAGCCGAAAGCAAAGGATGGTACCTAATCTTTTACACAAAGGAGAACCAAATTTCTATTTAAAGGAGGAATAGACTATTTTCTCATCTAAATTAAAAAAATAAAACTTATGCCCTAAGTAACTTCATTCTTTCAAGAGTCTCTAAGATCCTCTTTAAAATTTAGAATCATTGGCAGCAAGGATACATCCATATAGATAAGCAATTGAAGGGCTATGCACACACAATACAAAAACCTAATTCTCTGGAGAAGTTCATATTGCTAAGAAAGGTGAAAAGAGAGGGAAGAGGACAACCAACAGCAAGGTGGATGGATTCAATTACAATGGTGGTGAGTGCACCACTGAAAGACCTGAACTCAATTAATTCAATACCACATAATTTATCAATCAATCAAGTTATAGAAATTTCTTCTAACATTGTGCCCAAATAATGAAGATGCATCAGACTACATTTTTTAAATATACAGGTATTCCTTGACTTAGAACCATTCATTTAGTGACCGTTAGAAATTACAACATTGAAAAAAGTGATTTAGGACTATTTTTCACAGGACTGTTGCAACATTCCCCATGGTCACATGATCAAAATTTGGATACTTGGCAACACGCTCATATTTATGATGGTTGCAGTGTCCTGAGGTCATGTGATCACCTTCTGATAAGCAAAATCAGTGGGGAAACCAGATTCACTTAACAATCATGTTACTAACTTAAAACTGCATTGATTCACTTAACAACTGTAGCAAGAAAGGTCGTAGAATGAGACAAAAATCATTTACAATTATCTCACTTAGCAACAGAAATTTGGTGGTTCAAATGTGGTTGTAAATTGAGACCTGTATGCTAGATCCCACCTAGATTGGCCATGAAGAATTCAATATCATTGGCACCTAGGCTACAGACAGTGGCTTTCTTGTCAGTTAAAATATGTAAATGTTTTTGCAGAACAAAAGAAATGTTCTTCCAGACCTAATACAGTGTACCATTGTTCAAAAAAGAAATGTAGCAATAAAACATGACAATTGTTCTTGTTTGGTATCCGGGGCACGTTCATTATGTCTATATTACTATTTGAAGATTTTTTTTTAATGATATTATTCACGTCAATAGTATGTTTATTTAATTAGAACTATCTTGCATGCATCATACAATTTAAAGTTGTAACTATAAAGCCATGTAGATAGCCTTCCTTTCATGTACATGAAAAAACAATAGTTTTTAAACAAATGATTCAGTGAAATGGAGAACATATATTATCAATGACAAGTGCCACAAATTTATTAGAACTAAAAACCAACATTAACATACTTAGGAAGAGAGAACTATTCCTAGAAATCAAGCTAATACCAAAACAGTAGCACTGTGACTGTAGTCCTCGACTTACGACCACAATTGAGCCCAAAATGTCTGTTGCTAAGTGAGACATTTAAGTGAGTTTTGCTCCATTTTACAACCTTTCTTGCCACAGTTGTTAAATGAACCACTGCAGTTATTAATTTAGCAACATGGTTGGTAAGTGAAACTGGCTTCCCCATTGACTTTCGTTGTCAGAAGATCGCAAAAGGTGATCACATGACCCTAGGACATTGCAACCATCATAAATATGAGTCAAGCTGCCAAGCATCTGAATTTTGATTATGTGACCATCAGGATGCTGCAACGTTCAGTTAACAACCATGTTACTAACTTAAAACTGCAGTGATTCACTTAACAACTGTGGCAAGAAAGGCCATAAAATGGGGCCATTTTATGTGTGAAAAATGGTCATAAGTCACTTTTTTCAGTACTATTGTAACTTCAAATGGTCTCTAAATGAACCGCTGTAAGTCGAGGACTACCTGTACTATAACACAAATCATTCAGGATTTTTTAGAAGTTTGGGCTATTTATTTTTAAATTAAGCTACACTAAATTAAACTGGTTCCCTGTGCATTTTTACAGTGATAGTATCCAGATATACCATTACTCTACCCAGCTAGACATTAAATGGCACTAGCTACATTAATTAAAAAGACGTTTAGATAAATGTGATTACCATCAGCAATTTCCAGATAAATTTTAGTAATTAAGCTACTGCAGCATCATGGATTTCACAATGCCTAAATCAGACTTCTTGAGAGGCAATGTCTGTTCTCTTACATAAAATGATATGTTACCTGCAAGCCTAATTTTTATCCAGATGTATAAATGTGTCTCTTTTAACCCAGTTTCCATGCCCCAACTCCAAATCATCAAGATCTATCCGTTCAGAAATGTTTACCAAATCACTCACCATAGATCCCTTCACTTCTTGGTATATTTCATTGAACTCCAATGTATCTGCCATGTTGACAGCTCCCTGCCCACTATGGCAGGGGCTGGTCTGAGATCCCTAAAAGTATCCCTTTTGGAAGGTGCTTTGCCAGGAACCGCACAAGGACATCAAGCAGAAGTCTTAGTGACTGGCATAGTCTACCCTGAGAGAAGCAAAGGAAGCCCTGAGAAACCAAGAACACCGGATCTCTTCTTCTTCTTCTTTTTTTCAGAAATCTGGAAAGTAGTTAGAATACACACAAGCATTTACTACTTCCAAAAGAAAAACATGTTTGCACTCTCTTCCTGTCAAACCGGCTCTTAATGTAACAGCATCCCTGCACAGTTTCAAATAACAAATAAATAAATAACAGCAATAGAGTTGGGGAGGGGTCCTTTGGAGGTCATCTAGTCCAACCCCGTCAGGCAGGAGACCTATACTAGGGATTCGAACCGCCGAACTTTCTGATCGACGAGCTCAGCGTCTTGAGCCGCCCTGGGATCTTTTATTATAAAGTTTTCCCAGTGGCAGCCCAAATTTACCGGCCTTGGCCAGTTCAGAAGCGAGTCAGGAAAACTTTATTTGCCCTTTTACCCCACTTGGGAATGGCAGGCGCCAACCCCACCCGCCCCATAACAAGAGTGAACGGGCGCCAGTTAAGGGGAGGCGGATGTCAGAGACCGCTGCTCTACGTAGCCGGCGCGCTCAAGAGACGAAGATAACAAAGGCCGCCTCCACCACCACAACACCGGCCATCGGCGGCCATCGGTTCCATGCCCACCCGTGTTACAGGCTCCGCGATTCCCGGCCCGAAGCCCCGCATCGCTCACCTTCCCCCTCGCCCACTTTCCCGCCTGCGCAACACGAGACCCAAAGCAACCCCTTCGGTTGCCACCGGAAACCAACCTCACTTCCGCCTTCCGAAGCGACAGACCGACCGTCGCTGCTGCGAGGCTTCGGGCGGGCATTTCTTCCTGCGATGCTTAAGCTTCCGATGGAAAAGGACGGCTGTTCTACGCCACGTTTCTCTATGAAGGCGGAGCGATGCCACTCTAGCCCTTCACGTCTCTATGGCCAAAGCCACCGGAGAACGGTTGCGTTTTGATTTAAAAGCGCCCGAGTGGGGGGTGGGGGTTCGGGGGATGGTGGGGGGGATGTTAAACCTTTGCTTTCTTACGATCTGAGGGGCTGGCGGTGAAAAGCGTGGCGATTTTCTATAGGCGCCGAGGAAAGGGTACCTTGCCTTTATGGCAAGGACCGCAGCCTCCCGTCCTAAGCTCAAAACCATTCTTCAATGAAAGCATTTTCCAGCTTTCTCTGCCTTGGAAAGTTGGATAGGTGATTTGCCTGGAGGCTGTGGGCTACTGAAACAAAAATTTTTGCCTAAAGAAAGTTAACAGGCAAATAAGTTAATATTGCAAAAATGAATGCGTATAAGCCATCGAGCCCTTTCAGGGTGTAGAGAAGGAATAAGAAATAGCTGACGAAATTAAAAAGTTTAAGAAAATAAAGCAGAGAATAGAATAGGATAGAGTAGAGTAGAGTAGAGTAGAACTTTATTGTCATTTTAAATGTACACTAATCTGCATACATTAAAATGAAATTTTGTTGCATTCAGCTCTCAAAGGATAATTCTGATAATTCAAAAAATATTTACAGAGCCCCTCGCATCCTGGACATAAACTGTTTCAACTCCTACCCTCAAGACGACACTATAGAGCACTGCCCACCAGAACAACTAAACACAAGAACAGTTTTTTTCTGAACGCCATCACTCGGCCAAACAAATAATTCCCTCAACACTGTCAAACTAGTTACTAAGTCTGCACTACTATTCATCTTCTCGTCATTCCCATCACCCATCTCCTCCCACTTATGACTGTATGACTGTAACCTTGTTGCTGGTATCCTTACGATTTATATTGATATTGTTTCCTGATTGCTTATTTGTAACCTATGACTATAATTAAGTGTTGTACCTTATTCTTGATAAGCGTATCTTTTACGTACACTGAGAGCACCAAGACAAATTCCTTGTGTGTTCAATCACACTTGGCCAATAAAAAAATCTCTTCTCTTCTGTTCTGTTCTATTCTATTCTATCCTGTCCTGTCCTGTTACCATTATGCACATACCCACATACACATATATGGCACAGTGTAACATCACAGTCTAGTTCGAATGTATACATATACATAGCGGGGGAGGGGGGGAGAGAATCCTGTGTGTTTACAAAATGATGGCATTAGGAACAAAGCTGTTACAGAATCTAGTAATTCTGCTATAGATACTTTGAAACATCCCAGAGGAGAGCAGCAGAAACAGATCATGAAATGGGTATGTGCGATCTCTAACAATACTTCGAGCTCTAAGCACATAGCAGTATCCTGAATAATGAGAGATGAGCTTCCCATAATTTTCTCGGTTGTCCTTACCACTCTGTATGGACCTTCTATCTGAAACTCTGCTACACCAAACCAAACTGTGATGTTGTGACCCCAACTCCCGAGCCTTTCCTAACAGAGGAAGAGGACTCAGAAATTGATGGGGAGGAACTGACAAGGCCTCCCTCTCCAGGACCCTCCTTTCTGGCAATGCCTCAGGTTCCATCCAAAGGCCAGGAGGAACAGCTTGGGATGTGCCAGGAGGAAGGCATATTGGAGCACCAATTGATAGGAAGCGAGGATGATGAATCCTGGCTTGATCTCAGGCAGTGTCGGAGGGAGAAGCGTGCGCAGCAACAGAAGAGGCGTGGGAGGGCCAGAGATTGAGCTGAGTCACGGAGCCATGCCCCACCAGGAATAGTGGGTGGGATTGCTCTTCAGGCTTTGTGACGTACAAAGTTAAACCCTGAAAGTCACATCGTGATCTCTGAAATTCATCTTGGATATATTTTGGACTGAACATTGACTAAACTCTTGTCTCGTGAATAATTTGTTGCTCCTGGAACGGACTGAAGATAAGTCCTCTTCTGCTTTATGGGAGTGAAACTAGTCTTGGCAGGCATTCAGCAGTTTGCTGCCAAAACCTTGGTCTGCCAACAATTCTAATCTGTTTACCTAATAAAATATTGGTAGGCCTGCTTGGTATTATATTTACCTGTGTGAGGAAGGGGGACAGAACATGTGATGCAGTTTATTAAAACGCTCTCAATCGTGCCTCTGTAAAAAGTGGCCAGGACAGAAGGAGAAAGATGTGCTCTCCTCATCCAATGCAAAGATAATGTATGAAGAGACCAAGTCAGATTGTTATCTGCACCCACAGATACTTAATACTCCAAAACTGCAGCCTTGATACAAAGTGGGGTATGATTATGCCGGCTCTTTCTAAAATCTTTCTAAGATCTCCTTTGTTTTATCATTCAAAACCAGGTTGTTTTTATTGCACCAGTCCACCAAAGCCTTCATCTCCTCCCTATAAGAATCTTCACTGTCATCCTGGATAAGACCCACCACTGCCATGTCATCCTCATACTTCACAATTTGATTCGTAGCAGACTTGGGACAGTAGTCATGGGTCATCAAGGTGAAGAGTAGCAGACTCAAGACACAGCCCTCTGGGGAACACTTACTCAAGGAGATGGAGTTGGAGACTTCTTCCAACTTGCACAATCTGGGACAATAAGGAATAGCAATAGCACTTAGACTTATATACCGCTTCATCGTGCTTTTAAAGCCCTCTCTATGCAGTTTACAGAGTCAGTATATTGCCCCCAACCATCTGGGTCCTCATTTTACCCACCTTGGAAGGATTGAAGGCTGAGTCAACCTTGAGCCGATGAGTTTTGAACTGCAGAACTGCAGCTAGCAGTCAGCTGAAGTAGCCTGCAGTACTGCAGTCTCACAACTACGCCACCTCGGCTCATATCAAGTATCAGTATCCAATTACATAAAGAAGTATTAAAACAAATACCGTATTTTTCGGAGTATAAGACATACCTTAGTTTTTGGGGAGGAAAATAAGAAAAAAGCTGATTGGTGGGTGGATTGGCCTCCCGGAATACCCCCAACCAGCTGTTTCCAGATCTGAATTTTAGCAACAGATTGGTTGGTTGTGAGCTCTGTGCCTTGCTTTTTTTTCTGCCTCTGAAACTTCTGAAACTCTGTTTCAGAAAAAACTTTTTTTCCTGCCTCTGAAAGCCTCCGAAACAGCTTCAGAAAAAAAAAAGGCTTTTTTTCTGAAGCTTCTTTCAGAGGCTTTTATTCTGAAGGACTATCTGTACTCTGTTCAATCTCCTTTATTTGGTATTGGTATGTAGATTAACCTCTTCCAATCTGTTGGTTATTGTGTCATTCCCCAGATTTGTTAACATAGTTTGGTTAGAACCTTTACTGATTCTTCTTTTGTTGCTTGCCATATTATTTTAGATAAAAACCTTTCTGAAGCTTTTTTTCTGAAGCTACTTTTAGAGGCAGCTTTCAGCCTCTGAAATCTCCATTTGCGCGGCTGGGCAAACATTCAGAGTATAAGACGCACCAAGATTTTCCCCCTCTTTTTGGAGGGAAAAAGGTGTGTCTTATACTCCAAAATATATGGTAGTTTGTTCACCAAATGCTGAGGAATTATTGTGTTAAAAGCCGAACTAAAATCAACAAACAGCATTCGCACATGAGTAGAATAGAGGTAGATATAGTTTGCATCAACATCTTTTGCTGTAGCTCTTTATTACAAATCGGCATGCTGACATCACACCCATACATCACTACTCACTACAATGCTTGCTTTGTCTTTCAATGTCTTGTTTCTAATTTTCAGTATTTTACTAACTCCACCCATCTATAACTTTCTTGTCAATTTTCCACTTCTTGCCCCTTTTCCCTTTCCCTTTATATATTTTTCTGTCAGTTCTGATTCAGTCTCTGTATGACTAAATTACTTTAAGATTAAGGTGACCAGACGTCCCGCTTTTGGCGGGACAGTCCCGCTTTTGAGCAATTTGTCCCGCGTCCCGCGGCGTTTCAAAAAAGTCCCGATTTTTCTTGAGCCCCAGCTGATGGCTAGAAGAAAAAAAAACTGTTTAAACTCTTGCCCGGGGCTTCAAAGGGCCGCCCTACAGGCAATCAGTGTAAAGCAGTTTTTTTTCCCCCTAGCTAAGCTTCAGAAACGAAACCGAAACCAGGGTCTTTGGTGCAGCGTGACAAAATGAGGCAGAGAGAGATTTATTTTTATTTTTCCTCCCCAAAAAAGGTAGGTGAAAAACTGCAAACAATGGGAAATTTAGGAGGAGAGTTCAAGATTTTAAAACACAAAGGAAAAAAAGCTGTATTTAACTAGGGAATTGTAATAATTGAGATACTATTAATTGTATATTGTGTTGAAAGCAGAAACGGTTAAGTTGTGGTTCGGAGGAATATATGGGAGAAATTATTTGGTTTATTATTATTGGTAAATATAATTAATTGATTTGTAAGAAATTGGATTGCATGGAAATAATTGGAATATTCATGTTCATATTGATTAATATACAAAAAAGATAGTTTTATAACTAATTGATTTATATTAAAATGTTGAATTTGTATTAAACAACTGTATTACATAATTACATAATTAAACAATGTGAGGATGGATATAAAAATAGATGACAATGGGAAGGGGTATAATATAGAATAGAAGGGAAAAATTGAATTTGATTAAGATTAGAGATGAGGATGAAGGGTAATATTGGTTTTTTTAAAAAATAGATGAGGAATAAATATGGCAAAAAGGAAATATAGAAATTGTAAATTTAATTGAAATGACTAAACGCTGTTTAAATTTGTGAACCAGCCAAATATTCTGTTCAAAGAAAATACATTGTATGTTTGTATGTGTGTTTCTAATTATTGCTATTTATTCATATTTGTTCTCTTTTATTCTTTAAAGTTTAACAATTCATTCTTTATCTTAATATCTTTATATTTGCTTGGGGTTGGCTTTCTTCCCTTTCATCTTTTTTATTGTACAGCAATCTTTCTCCTCAAACCTACCACCTCTCTCTTTTCTTTCCTTCTTACTTTCTCTTCCCCCCACCCTCTTTTTCTCCTCCCTACTTCCTCTTTCTTTCTCCTTCTCCTCCTCTCTTCCTCCCTCTCTTACCCTCACTCCTACTCTAATTTCCATTCCTTCATCCCTCTCTATTGCTGTAATCCTTTAATGCATATGGACTACTCAGAGGGCTGAAAAAGTTATTTTTGACTGGTCCTCACACTTTTGACCAGTCCTCGAACTTACGACTGTCCTCACATTTTACATTTTTGCCCTATCTTGTCACCATGTTGAAGAGAAGCCGTTGTGAAATGAGTGACATGGTTGTTAAGAATGCTGCACGGGCATAAATGTGAGGATGGTCATAAGTGTGAGGACCAGTCAAAAGTGCGAGGACCTGTCAGAAATGACTTTTCAGCCCTCTGAGTAGTCCCTATACACATAGCCATGGCCACCCGGTCACATGACCAGGTAGCCACGCCCACCCAGTCACATGGCCTCCAAGCCACGCCCACACAATAAGCCACGCCCACAATGGTGTCCTTCTTACCAATGTTAAAATCTGTTCACCTTACCCTATAGACATAGCCATGGCCACCCGGTCACATGACCAGCTAGCCACGCCCACCCAGTCACATGACCAGCTAGCCACGCCCACAAAATAAGCCACGCCCACAATGTCCCTCTTTACCAATGTTAAAATCTGGTCACCTTATTTAAGATATTTCTTCCATACTGGTTTTTCACTTTCTCATTCAGTTCATATTCATTCATCACCTATTCCTTCATTCATTCTTGACCCACTCTTCATAAGTATCCCATTGTACTTAATTCAATTTTTCTTTTTTTCCTAATGTGCTAGACTTCCATTTCTATAAAGAAAGTGGAAGAGACACATTTTTACTTTTTTAAGAAACAATTCTTCACAATAGAGCATATACAATCCATTACTTTTTACCAAGATTTGCACATTTTAGAATCTTTATATTCAGTTTTCCATTTTTAGAAAACATTCAACCAAGGTACTCAAATTCAAGTCTTTTTGCCATTTATGTAACACTTGCAATCACAGATTTTCTTGTTAAATACAAATAGTAAAGGTGAGATAATGTACATGTACATATACACGTCTATATTCTAGTAATTGATCTGTCAAGTTTCAGATTCATACTCCTTGTTGCATCAGACAGTCTATTTAATGTTGGCTACTACCATACAGTTTCAGCCAACAATAGAAAATTGCCTGCATACAAAGGTACATTACAGTACAATTTATATTTTCAACCAACACACTTTTAACATCAATATAAATATATATATATATATATATATTTATAAATATATATCCATCAGTACATTAAACAGGCTAAGACTCTAGGAGACATCACACAGAATAAATCCATTCACTGAAGTATTCCATTTATTCTCATACATTATATATTTCCAACATATGCTGCTCTTATCACATTCAGCTAATCTTCAACTCCATTTTGGCAAAAATTCAAGTCTTTATTATACTTTTTCTCTAAAGCAACAATCATTCATCATACCAGTGGTGGGTTGTCCCCGGTTCGAACCGGTTCTCAAGAATCGGTAGTAAAACCGGCATGAGGCTCCGCCCACTGACCCGGATGTCATCAAAGTTGATCTGCGCATGCGCAGAAGAGCGTGCGCGGCACAATGCGAACCAATAGTAAAGGTAAGTAGAACCCATCCCTGCATCATACCTATCACTATTAGTGCTATCTTTGTTTTCATTTGCCACAGCCATCTTACATGTATTTGTAGGTCTTTGTATTTGGTGACTTCCTACAATTTTTGTTGTTGTTGTTGTTGTTGTTGTTTTAGTCTGCTTTCTTTACCTACTGCAACATCCACTATTCAGACTTTTTTTGCCTGTTTTATCAACAGCTGTTAAATCTTGACTCTTAATGTGGCAGATGCTTGTCTGTTTGAATTTTAATGTCCCAGAGCACTTTAGCTTCTATATTTCCTATTAGTTTGTTTATTTTGTGGTCCCACCAGTTCTTGCTTGCAGGCAAATGGTATTTCTGCAGATATTGCTTTCTGTTGCTGTCTTTTCAGTTCTGACTTCGTATGCATTTGTTCTTAAGGCTTAGTCTCATGCAGCTAGAAGAGCTCCTCTATCTCTTTCTTCAGCTTATCTGCTCTTAGCCATTGAGAGTTCTTGCTGTTATCTGCTATGCTTGTTATTTTTTTATGTATTGAAAATATATTAAAATATAATATATTTTATTACATTAAATATTATTGTCATAGGTTCCCATAAAGGTTCCCCTCACACATATGTGCTCGTCGTTCCTGACTTTAGGGGGCGATGCTCATCTCCGTTTCAAAGCCGAAGAGCCAGTGCTGTCCGAAGACATCACTGTGGTCATGTGGCCAGCATGACTAAATGCCAAAGGCACACGAAACGCTGTTACCTTCCCACCAAAGATGGTCCCTATTTTTCTACTTGCATTTTTTATGTGCTTTTGAACTGCTAGGTTGACAGAAGCTGGGACAAGTAACGGGAGCTCACCCCATTACACGGCACTAGGGATTCAAACAGCTGAACTTTGATTGAAAGTTTGATTTATTTAACGACCTTTCAATTGACAAGCTCAGCATCTTAGCCACTGAGCCACCGTGTCCCTTATATATAATTTGTCTGACACTACTGAATAAAAGGTATTTATTACTTTCTTTTTAGCCATTTTTTCTTGGACAGTAACATATTGTATTTTAATGTTTGTAGTTTATGCTTTTACTTGGCTGTTCACCGCCCTGAGTCCTCAGGGAGAAGGGCGGTATATAAATTTAAAAATAAATAAATAAATAAATATTTCACCCCAAATTATTTCACTATTTTTGTTGTTTATTCTACAGTATTGACTTTAATACAAATGCTCTGTTATTCCTCATTTTCAAAACAGTTTTAAAATTTCCATCAAAATCTCTTTATAATGTCTCTGCCTCTTTGAATTTAAATTTTCTCTTGCTCTCTGGCTACAACAACTAGTAGTGTTTTTGACAAAAATAATTTCATCTAAGGTCTAAAACAAATTGATCTCAAAGGTACCTTTCAAGAATTTATATTAGAGTCAGAATATGTTCAGCATAATTAGAAAACAATGTCTGGTTCCATTACTTTTTAAAAATCAATGGTTTATTGATGTTATTGATGGTCTGAAAAGAGCAATTACTTAAGCAGATCTATTTATTCATTTATTTAATGTATACCCACATTAAACATTTGATGTTTAAGGTTCTACCAGGTTACATCCACAGCCATTCATTCTTGGTAGGATGGTTCCTCCCTACCCAAATCCCCACAGTCTCCAGGCACAGAGACAAAACTTGAACAGCCTCACCTACCCACTCTGGAGGTCAAAAGATATAATTGGATACCATCAACATACTATGGTACCAAATCACAAACCAGTAAATAGTTTTACCCAATGATCTCATACAGATATTGAATAGGACAGGAAAGTGCCAAGCCCTATGATCTCCCTCAAAGGAGGGCCTTAGGGAGCAACTTCTCCACTGTAAGAAAGAGAATAAGAAAACCACATAAAACAGTCCCCCCTCCATCTTTTGACCCTCCATGCAAAGTTTGTACAGGTTTGCTGCACTTCCTGGCAATGTTCAGAAGACAAGCTCATCCCAAAGATTCTTGCCTTCCCTGATGGGTCTTCCACTCTTTACCAAGGGTCCATCTCATACAACAGTATGGTTTCTTTTTGTTAGATCGGGTGATGGAAGAGGCAGGACGCGGCTTGCAATAACAGAAAAGCTCTTTATTGAGTAGATCTGTGCAACCCAGCAGCCGGCTCATCTGACAGCTTTATAGGGAGCTGTCAGACGGCTCGGCCAGTGGGGTTTGAGTATTTTCCTGCTGTTCTGACGGACCTGAGTGGAGCCTATGTTCACTCCTAATTTAGTATTCAACACTTTTGTTTTCCCCTATTGTATTATTGTAAGCTTTATGCTTACAATATTGTGTGCTTTATGATTGGACAGTGTACCAGACCCAGTGTGGTTTATTTAATAACCCAAGATCAATTAAATCATCAATTGGGCCTAATTCATGGAGTTCAGAAACTGTGCTTTCCTTACATCTCCATAGGGAAGCCTGGAAAAAAGTGGGGCTTCCTATTGAATTGGCAAGTGGATCTGTGCTGGCACCAAGTCCAAATTTTTCAAACATGCATAGCCCTTTTATTCAGGGCTTCTTCAAAATACAGTTCCATATAAAGTCATTTGGGGTCTTTATTTTTCCCAGACTCAATCTTTGTCTGAACTTGCAACAAAAAAAAAAATGCATTGTTTGTTTTCTTTCCACACATACTATTTCTTATTTGTCCCAGGGGCAGTAATTCTCAAGCTGACAAAAGAGATCTGGAGCATAAATGTTTTACCAGCTTAAAGTAACTTTCCAGAGGGGAGATTCACCGCAGTTACTCTCCATGGAATTGCTCTCAACTTCCCTCTTTTAGATCAGGATAGAAATATATTACAGAGGAAGTACCACTGCTTAATTTTTGCTCACTCGAACAGTAAATCTCAACTGCGATAGATAAATAATTGCTGAGCTGTGAAAACATTGGGAAATACTTCTCCTGAGTGACAATATGTGAAAAAAAATCATATACCTTTAATCATTCAGGTTGGATTTTTGTTAGTTATTAAAGAGACAAGGTTGTTCTTTGAATTTGATTTAAAATGTTTGGTTTAAAACACTTTTCCCTCATGTTTTTCCTTAGCTTTAAAAAATCATTCATATAAAAACATAAAAGAGTGGTAGTGCCACTGGTTCAGTCACTTTTTCTTCTTCAACCTTGTGGTGTCTCAGTTGTTGACAGTCACAAATGTTTAATTTACATCCAATATTACTGAAAAAGAAGCTGGTCAACATAAGGCCTAAAAAGTTTCTGTATTTTTCAGAGTATAAGAATCACTCCCCCCCCAAAAAAGTGGGTGTAAATGTCTGTACGGCTTATACAACAAATGTTGCTGAAGCCCCACGCACCTACTGGCCCCCACCCTTTGGCTGTTTTCAGCCTCCGCACATCATATTTTTGGCCTCTGCATCCTCTGTTTAGACTCATTCCAGGCTGCGGGGATCACCACAGCACATCGCCGCCGATCGCCGCCTCCATGCATCACATTTTTGGCCGGTTCCAGGCGGCAGGGAGCGGTGGCAGCGGCAATCCCCGCCACCTGTAACGGGCCAAAAACATGATGCACAGACGCCAAAAATGGGGTGTGAAGAGGCCAAAAATGTGATGCACGGAGACGGTGATTGGTGGCGATCAGCAGCGATGTGCTGTGGTAATCTCAGCAGCCTGAAATAGGTCTAAAATGGAGCACGCGGAGGCCCAAAACACAACGCGCAGAGTCCAAAAATGCGAGACGTGGAGGCCAAAAGCGTGACACACAGAGTAGGCAATTGACTATGGTGATCCCCACAGCCTGGAACAGCTGATTGGTGGTATTCCGGGAGGCCAATCCAGCTGCCAATCAGCTGCTCGTGCTGAATCAGGCTGCGATAATGTGCTGAAGCTGATCGGGCTCTTTGCTGTTTGCTGCAAGGATGCTAGCCAGGTGAATACCGATGGATGCTGGTAGGCAGACGCAGATTTTTTTTTCTTGTTTTCCTCCCCAAAAACTAATCCGGAGCGTCTTATACTCTGAAAAATATGGTATATATGCTGATTAATATAAATATTAATTTATGTAATATTTTTAATCAATTGATTCAACCATTTCAGCTTAAACCTTAATTTGGCTTTTCATATTTCTTGTTGTCAGTTATACGTAATTGACACTTTATTACACTCATGCAACAAATTAGGCAAACACAGCCGCTAAGTTGCCAATACTGCAGTTTTTGACAGAAATGATGTGTTAAATCACTGTACAAATGACTCAATCTCTCTTAGTCGTTTCACATCTTTCTCTGTCATTCTCTACATATTTCTCCTTAGAGTGAATCTGTTTGCTAGGATTCTTCAGCAAATATACATGGAAGTGTTTGTAAGAGCTGCCCTTAAAGTTATATTGTATGAATAAGATCCCTTTCACTTGATTCTGTTACAACTCCTCAATCTACATTTCTTCCTAGGGAGAGACTTTAACAACAGTTCCACATTTACATATATTTGAAATAGCCATGAAAAGCATGTCTTACATTTCCCTTACATTGCTTAGTATTTCTTAAGTTTGCTGAAACCTAGAACTATCTAGCAGAGTCCTAAATTTGCTATAAAAACCATTGAGTTGATCAGATTATAGAAACTGAAGATCTAGAGACATGAAGGTGATAGAACAGTGTAGAAAAATAAATCCTGATTTGGTATATATTAATACTCTGATATTTGTTTCAGCAGTTATAGAACATTTTTAGACTGCAATATAATTGCTATAGCAAAAAACATTTTCTAAAAAAAATGGGGAGCTAGATCAAAACCCTTCACCTGGCATATGGAAATTAAACTCTTTCCAAAAAAAAACACTTGTTCACCTGCCATACAGTTCTACTTATTAATTAAAGATTGCTCTGTAATTCCCACGTCCTGAGGTGATGAATTATCCAAATAATACAGGTATTATTAATTCTAGAGAACCAGTTTGGCCTAGTTGTTAAGCACATGGGACTAGAAAGCAAGAAACCATGAGTTCTGATCCTCCCTTAGGCAGAGAACCAACTGAATGATCTTTGGCCAGTCACTCACTCTCAGCCCAAAGGCAAACCACTTCTGAAATCTTGCCAAGAAAACTGCAGGAACAAGCAATTGCCACAGCTAATAAAACACAACTACAGGACACAAGGCACTTTCTTTATACAAAAAAAGTCATTGGTACAATATTTCTGAAATCTTTTCTCTTGGGGAATACAACAGAATCAATATCCTAGTATTAGATTTCATCTTCGATATCATAGTAATAGAAGGAAGAGAAGTCGCTTTTCTGAAATGTGTCTCTTTCATGTGCTGATTCAGCTACTGTATGTTGGGCAGTATTCAATGATATAACCAGGAAATTTGGGCATGATTCTTGACACTATACACTTTTTTCTGTCCTTTCTGGGCTTGATGGAATAGCATCATGTGTGTGGGGGGCATGTATTTTTGGATCATGTGAAATATGTCATTTTTTTAAGGTGCTCAACACCCCCCCTTCTTGTCACACCTGTTTAACCGGTATTCAAATTTTGTGTGGGGGAATCAAACTTGGATGTTGGTGGATGATCTCATGTAAAGCATTTCACGCACATGTTATAATTGTTGTATTGGTTATGTTTCCATTCATAAGAACTCATAATTATCTTTCAAGCCCTGAATAACTGAGGTTCCTCTTGCTAAATCTATGGGAGATGAGCTCCCTTCCATGTCCCAGAGATTTAAATGCTTTTGAAATACCTTCCAATCATTTGTTAGGAGTAATCTATAAAATTAATCCTGTAATTTCTGTATAAATTCAAAGGGAGGAAATGTACAAAAGCCACCAAATTATGAAAACAGAGCCTGCCTAATGTAATTTTAATCTTGTGTCCCACACTGCTATTGCATGTTATTCTTCAAGTACCCGTCTGCAGTGAATGCAAAAAAGTTTTCCTGCACTGAGACTTTCACAGTCCTACTATTGCTCTTATAAGTGTCTTGATCCTTGCTTTGCAATCCTGAAAATAGAGACATTTTCCTACTTAGGGTTGAAGGTGAACATAATGCCCAGAATGTCTGCGTGTAAACTGAGTCTGTAAAACTAGGGAGCTTGATTACCCAAATGTGAGTGGAATGAAAATAGAACCTGGGCTGTTTAAAGCTGGGAACAAACTGGGTCTGTTGGCAGCAA